AAATAGTGGATTTAGACCTTGACACTATTTTAAAAAATTACAAGTAACTATTAGTTTATTTTGTGGGTTGACTAACATTATTTTTAATTCGATTTATTTCAATATATAAAATTTGATATATATATATATATATATATATAATATTAAAAGTTTCTACAAAATAAGAAATGACATGACAATGTTATTTTATCGAATGACTAATAAAAATAAGTAAGAAAGTGATTAAAGTTTGATTGTGTAAATACCAACTGAGAAGATAGTTTAAGAACGAAAGACTTAAAAATTCCTCGTTCAAAAAAATGTTACCTTAGAAAAAAATTAGTAGTCCATGCAATTCTTTCCCTGTTCTACACCACTTTTTAGCACACAATTCTACTTTTTTAAGTTTCATATAACATCAACGTAGAACCTTTTTTTAAAAATGAGCCTCACCTCTGTGGGCATACTCGAAATCGATGAGACAGTCACATAAAAGAAGATAAACTGAGTTTTAATCACTCATTGACTAGCAAAGGATATAACATGCATCAAGTACTTGTAGTGGCTATATGTTTAATCATAGCTGCGTCCCAACGCATTTTCCATGAAATAATGTCTTGCTAACAACGCTACGCCCTTGGAATGTAGAACATTTTTGTATTTCTGGGATGGGGAGTAGTTATATACCTTTTGAGGCTAACAATATGGTTGTCGTCTTCCTGACAGCCACATAGGCTCCACATCTCCACATTAGAGTCATCCCGCGAGAGAAGTGTAGTTATTGAACGCAAGTGGGGGGGGTGTTAGTTATATATTGTGTTCGGTTATTGACATTATCTATTGACAAACGAATATATCCATGCAGAGCCTTGTATAAACATGCTGCATGCTTGCATCTCAAAATCCTAATCCGAACATGAGTCATGAAATTGCTAAGTTGGAACCTTTTGATTGATTAAAAGGTAATTACTTAAAAAGCAAGGAGTCATGCGTGCATATGACAATGAAAAAAATAGAGGTTAATGTTAGAATTCTAATCCTACTTGACCTGCTTCTACGTAGGAACTCCGAGTCTTACAAGGATTGCTATAAGATATCTCATAGTCCTACTTTGATGTGGTTTAAGGCTTTTATATATATATATATATATATATATATATATATATATATATATATATATATATATATATATATATATATATATAT